GGGGCCTCCCAGCAAGGAAGTTTGGTCTTTTTTTTTTTTTTTTTTTTTTTTTTTTTTTTTTTAAATTTAAGGCTAAGCTACTGTTACTGCGGCCTGTGGGTTTCTCATATTCAAGTTGCTGTTTATTCAGTGGAACCTCTTCTTTCTGTCTTCCCCCTCCCCCTTTCATTCAGGGGGCCCTGCTTTTTCCTGTAGATCATTATGATTTTCCCAACTTTCAGAATACTAAAGAGAGTTTAATTTTCTGCACTATTTCAGAGTTTGTGTTTGTAATGTTTAACTGCCACAGGGAAAACAAAACCCTGAACCCGTGTCCTAACAGAAAAGAAGGAAAAAATTATTTTCAGTTTCCTCTTTTAGAAAGTAACTACGCCCACTTCTGGTTTTGGTTTGGGATAATAAACAATTAAACGGAAACATTTTAAAATCCAGTGTTCGTCTGAAACTTTTAAGTAGCTTCCTTTTGTTCTTCTTTTAAGGAAATTGAGAGAACTCCACATATTCAAAAAGGTATGCTTGTATGTAAGAGTTTGCCAGATTTTGGCCTCTGTTTGGAACACAAAGTCTACAGCTGCCACAAAAAGGAGGTAGCGAGAGGGAGAAATGGTTAAAACTTGGGTGACACAATGAGTCAGTCCTAGATGAAGAAAGAACAAAAGGAACAAACAGTACAAAGTGGAAGTCAGTAGCATAGTCCAAAAGAGATGAGTTTTGGGTAAGGGCTGGAAAACCCTTCCTATGAGGACAGGTTGGGGTTGTTCAGCCTGGAGAAGAGAAGGCTCCAGGGAGACCTTATAGTGGCCTTCCAGTATATGAAGGGGGCCTACAAGAAAACTTTTTACAAGGGCTTGCAGTGATAGGACTAGGGATAGTGGGTTCAAACTGGAAGGAAGTAGATTTAGATTAGGAAAGGAAGAAGCTCTTCATTATGAGGGTGGTGGGACACTGGAACAAGTTGCCCGGGGAAGTTATGGATGCTCCATCACTGGAGATGTACAAGACCAGGTTGAGTGGGCCCTTATTCAACCTGGTCTAGTGGGAGGTGTCCCTGCCCATGGTAGGAGGGTTTGAATTAGATGATCTTTAAGGTCCTTTCCAACGCAAACCATGCTATGAAAAGGAGACCAAGGAGAGGCATATAAGGCCAGTTGAAGGGAACAGTTGTATTGGGATGAAAAGAGAAGAAACTGGTTGATGGGCAGTGTAAGATGCTGCATTCCAGGAGCTAAACCCACATACCTGAATAACAAAGTCTACTTAAAGCCTTGAGTTTTTTTCTGGTTACTGAAGCCTCATGACAAATTACTACAGTGATAAAAAACTGTCAGTTTTAGTGATGCTTGTCAAGCTGAATATTTAAAGTATTTTTTAAAAAAATGGAGGGGAAAAAAAAAAAAGGCCTAACCTTGTACGCCTTTGCTCACACAAGGATTTCCATGCAGCCATTCCCTTACAGAAAGGAAACATTAAAGGATGTAAAGACCTTACGAGAAAAAAAAAAAAAAAAACTAAAATCAAGGATTTAAGATCTTAACACGCTCATCCATTGAAACTGGTAGGATTTTTTCTAATTTTCACTAGGAAAGTGGTGAGAAAAGTAGCATTCTAACGTGAAGATGATGTCAGTTGGTAATAAGGCTTGTCCTGTTATGTTATTCTATCCTGTAAAACATCAATACTGTCAGGAGTGTTCTGAAGACAGCATTCCGATGCTGCTTATGGTCTGGCAAAACTACTTCATTTTTAAATACATTTTTTTGTGTGTTTATTTTCTGTTGGTAGGATCGGGTGGGTTCAGAAAACGAAAGCATGACAATTTTCCACATGGTCAAAGAAGAGAGGAGAAAGAGAATGTTAATCCATCTTCAGCTTTGATGACATCTTTTAAATGTAAGTAAGCAATTGGAAAGCCAGATTATAAAAACATGTGGTGTAGAATTTGCTAGGAAATACCTAGTACTAGTGACAGAATAAACCAGCTTTCTCTGGGGGAGAATTTTGAAACAAGTTGCTCTCATGCCTCATGTATGTAGAGCTTGGTGTTTTGCATTTTCTGCACAAAGACCTGAGAGTGGGGTCTCACGTAGCTCCACCTGACTGATGACTTGCTGCCTTTTTTGTTCTACCTGCTGTTGCCCTCTCTGCCTGCCTTGTGCTGAACTTGCTGCTGAGCAAGCTGCCTAAGTGTTCCACCAGAGAAAAGGTGACCAGGCTCTTTGGTGGCAGAAAACTGTAAAGTCTGCAGAGTTATAATGCCAAATCTGAGTCATGCAGACGAGAGGAAGAGCTGGCTGCCTTTGGGGAGACTGAGAATGCTCTTAGCTGTTGACCTTAGTTCTGGTGCACAGATGACTAAGCTACTTTAATGTAAATCTGGATGCATTGATTTGTGTGTTAATAGTGCTTTGTACATGCACTGCTTAAAAATAAGAGCTCAGCTAACTAATACAGTTCTGTATGTAGGCTCTTACTTCAGTTTGAACGTCCTTTTTAAATTATTTTGTATTTTGGTTTCTTTAAATAAGCAGGTGTAAGCTTCCCTCCAACCAAATTGGTTTTATAGGATTTTGCACAAAACTAAATTGAAATTCCAGTGAATGTAGTTGAACTTGCTCATTAGATGAGCCCTAACATTGAAGCCTTGGCAAAAGAAGGAAGGAAATGTGATATGGGGCATAGATTAATTCTTGGTGTAAAGTTTTCCCCATTCATCATATTTTCTATGAAGTTAAGGAGGGTGAAAAAGAGCTGGATGGCTGTTTCAGATGCTCACTTCAATATACTTATCATATAATAAAATTCATAACCTTGTTTTCTCTAAAACAGGTCTTTTTTCTGTTAAGTCAGCTTGGAAATGTTGTACTTGAATTGACAGTTATCTGTTGGCACCAAAGATTTCTAAAAAATTAGTGAGAAATTGTCCTCTATAATAATAATAATTAAAAACCAAGGAGCATTTAGTTACACCCTTTTATGCTTAATACATTTTAAATATGACAGCTCAGTGATACGGAGTGGATAGTATCTTGGTTTGTAAGGTGAAGATTTATTATCATTTTTAATGATCTGATTCTGCATGACCAAAATCAATAGAGTTTGACTCTGCTTTCAGTGATAGATTAGTCATTAAAGTGGAACGTGTCGAAGTGGCTGCATGGTTTCAGTGTGTTAGCAATACTTTGCAATTTTAGGCAACAGTACTGTAGGTTTTCTTGCATCTTTTTAGGCTAAAGATTACTATACTTGTCCATGTGGCCTAAAAGGTCAGGTCACAAAACACTTCCTAATAGTCCTTAACAGGTTTAAAATCTAATGTAAAAGTCTAAAGGCTGCAACTGTCCAGGAGAGATCTGGGGCATTGCTAATATTGAAGGTCTTGTAGAATAGTGAATTTCCTGGTAGGTTAAATTTGTAGAGGGTCATTGGGAATATCATATATGACATCCTATGAAGGAAAGTACTAGTCACCTTCTCTTAAGTTCCTGTTATTATGATTTGTGAGAAAATCCCTCCTTGATGATAATTCGATCATAGACTTGGCTCTCAGAATTTGGAAGAGACACCCCAATCAGACACATGAAAGATTTAAAAGATCAATAGGAGCATTTGTGACTTGTCTTAGAAGACTGGGGAGAACAGAACAAAATAACAGCAACCCAGTGTTTATCAAGGCTGTGAGAAATACAGTTACTTCTGTAGCTTCATCTAAACTTTGCTTGCCAGAAAGCTGCTGTGTTTTTCTAAGGGTTACTCACTTGTCATACTCTTGAAAAATGTAACCTCTAAGCATATTTTCACCATCTTCTTGCATGGATGCTTTAACAGCTCAGACTGTTATGCAGGAAATGTGTAAGATTTCTTGTAAGTATCTATTAATGGTTTATGTAGTGGAATAATGGTCTATAAAATACTAAGGGTATCTGTGAAACATTCATAGTGGTTGACGGCAATCACAGGCACACATTCTGCCTTCCCTTTTCATTGTAGTTAGAATTTACATCACTAAGTCAGAAATCTTATTTTAAGTAGTTGATCTCACTTTGCTTTAGTACTTCTGGTTCTTAGGGACATTAAAATTCTTGACTTTTCGCCAAGTCTAGCTGAGATGTGAAATTCAACCTTTCTTTTTAAATGGTGCATTTTTAAGTGTATGTGCCTTAGTCAAATGCCTCTTTTGTCTGTTTTGTTTTAGAGACTGGTGTGTCTTGCTAATGATTGTAGGCTTTTATTTCTTAATTCATCTTGCTGAATTTGGGTGAAATTTGAATTCAGTTTCCTGAACAGCAGTATCGCAAAACAGATTTTACTAGTTAGAGCACGAATTTCACCTTAAGATTGTTCAGGCTGCCTTAAAGCATCGTCAGCGCTGATGTGTATATAAACCTGACTTACTAAATCAGTGTTATTAGAATCAGTGTTGGTGGTGGATTTTGCAGCCTGGGGAGGCCATGGGCAGTGGTGGCCTCCCCAGCTGTGCCCTGTGCGGGCGCAGCTCCACTGCCCACCTTGGGAAAAGGTGTCCCAGGGAAAGGGCTGATGGGGCTGGGGTGCCTGAGGAGCTACCGTAGCGAGGTCTCTGCTGTTGCCCTGTGTTGTACCCAGGTGGTGACCATGCTTCTTACTGTGCCAATTGACTCTGCAGCCTTTCAGCTGGAGCTCGACACCAGGCACGATAAGTACGAACGGCTTGTGAAGCTCAGTCGTGACATAACTATCGAAAGCAAAAGAACAATATTTCTGCTCCACAGGTTTACCAGGTGAGTAACATTCAGTGTGAAAGTGTTCATCAAAACCCAGAAGCTGCCTTGCAGTGTTCTTTCTGTATGTGATTAATATCTGCAATGTTCTTTTGAGAGGAATTTAATGAACTTCCCATAAACATCCTTTAGGGTGGAAGTGAGCTAATGAATGCGTGCTCCAGTTAGGGAATTAAAAGATGCTGGTTCAGGTTTCTCAGTTTTAGTAATGTATTAAACAGGATCAGAGTAGTAGAGTATAACAGCAGGTGATAGCTTTCCAGCTTCCAGAGAGACGGGAGAGAAGAGCATGCACCCTTCCTTCTGGTTGGTTCCCTCTACAGTTAATTCACCATTTCAGTTTTTGCAGCCCCACCCTGGGTCGTCAATGCAAAGAGAAGGTGACCCGGGTCCTGTTTACATACTGCAGTCTAAGAGGCTTTTGTGTGAGGTTTTGAGCTTCTGCATGTTTTGTCTTTTCATAAGCTTTCAAGCAACCTTTGGAAGCCATAGACAAATTAGAAGAATAAGAGGAAGATGTGAAACTTTGCATAGCCTGTTGTATGAAATGTTTGCCGTCAAACATTGGTCTTGCGTGTTACAGTTATAACAGTTCTCCCTGTTCTTTTACTTTTAATTTAATTTGGGTTTTGTTACCTATCGCTGCATTTCTGCTGTGGTTGTAACTATTTATAGTTACCGTAGTAGTAACAGTTAGGAATTACGAAGTTGCCCTCTCTTTAACTCAGTCTTCTGCAGAGAAGCATTGTAATAATTCTGGTAAATGGTACAGCCTTGACTGTAAATAGCTACTCCCACTGCAGGTGCTAAATAGCTAGGAACTGGTAGAGGAAAGAACAACAACAAAAAAACTACACTTTACTCCAAATTTTACATTCCTGTTTTGTAAGACATTCCTGTAATTGTGAGAGTGGAAGCTTTCCATGTTGTATTTTTATTTCCTTCTTTGCTTTTCAGTGCTATTGTGGGTTTAGTTTCAGAAATCTGTTTGCTTTTAAATGTTTTCTCGAGACCAGTCTATCAGTTGTTCCTTAAACAGACGGTAAAACATGTATATTTAGCATTTAAAGTTTCATTTATCTAATTTCCTTTATACTTCCCTCATCCCCAAGTAATCTATATCTGGTGGTTGTAATTCAGCTATTTCAGCTGTTCCTGAATAGCATAGTCCGTTATTCCTAAAAAAAAAAAAAAATCACATATAGAAGTTACATCATGTGTCGTATTTTGCAATACTGTAACGTATTGCTAAATATTGTTTGTGGGTTTTGGTTTGGGTTTTTTTTTTTTTTTTTTTTTTTCTTCTTAGAGGTGGAATAACCTACAAATACTGCTAATTTTCTGGAATAGTTTTTTGAAGCCTTTGCATGTGTTTCTCATCACTCTTACACAATAAGTAAAATTCTAGTCTGGAATAAACATCATGCTACCAGAACTGTGTTTAGCTGGTTGATTGTTTTCACAGTAAGAATCTGAAGAATTTCAGAGTCTTCAGTAGGCAACAATAGGAGCTAAAGTACTTCTTATTTCACTATCATCTTTGCTTTTGCCTGAAGCTGTTGAAAATGTATTGGTTAGTAAAAGAATATGTGGAGTATTTTTTAACTGCTCTTGTTCTGGAAGCTGCTCTCTCTGTTGTACGATTGCAGTGCTCCCAATGGGGAAGAAATACTGAATGAATCTGAAGTCAAGCTAGATGCTGTCCGACGGAAGATTAAGCAGGTTGCACAAGAACTGATTGGAGAAGACATGTATCAGTTCCACAGAGCTATATCTCCAGGTAACTTGTTTTAAAATAGGGAAAGTATGCTACTCTGCACTAAGCTCAGGTTTCTATTTATGTAGCAGTGCTTCTTCTTCATGCTGCAGATCTGAATTTATGACATTTCTATGGTTATAAATCACAACTCAGATTAATCTTTGGTGTTAGCTAAGTTAGCTCAGGTATTAAAGAGGCTGTTGCCTTACAGTCTTCTTATCCTTGCAGTTAAAGATTTAAATGGGAGACTACAGCTGAAAAATTTGACCCCAGCATAAACTGAAGCTGGGAGTAGTTATAGTAAGTGTACTGGCTGATCTTCTCTGACTGAGAGGAGTACATGCAACACGTTCATGTGCTACACCCCACTTGAAGGGTTATGGTTTCTGTGAGGAGAGCGGGCAAGACTATCTTGTGAAATGATCCCATTTTAAGCTGATAAAATTAATGAATTAAAACTGATTAGCATTAAATTAAAAATAATTAACGTTTTCTGTCTTCTAAAGACTCAGAATGTGCTTCTGCCTCTGTTACAAGCATTAAATCAGAGTTTATATTTGTTTCAATAACATCTTTTTCTACTCCTCTGTAAACAGCAGTCTTTACTAACATCCTTGAGACACCAGGTCCCAGTGCTTTCATGACTCTTGCTGTCATGTCGTATTTCTTTGATGAGTCTTTGCCAACAATCTAAATCTTACCTAAAATTGTTGTGTAACAATTTTTTTTTGTGGTAACACATGAGTAAAATACATAACTGCTTCTTTGACATCTTGGTCATGGCATAAAAGTGTCTTGTGTTTATCTGTCTTGTTCTAAACATATTGGAATACTGTGTATCTTTCCCTGTTCGGGTAAGACTTCTTCAGCTGAGAAGAGCTGAAGATTTGCTCTGAATGATCTAATTGTTTAAAAATGTCCATAGGATTGATTTCATAAACCAGCAGTAAATACATCTATGTAATTTGCAGGACAAACAGGGCACAAGTTAAGTGGTACTTAGGTCTTACACAAAGTTAAGTTTGCTAAGAGTAAGGCAGCTCTTAAGTGAAAGCTCAGTTTGGCAGTTGTGAAGGAGAGGGAGCTTGCCATGCTACGCTTTGAGGGCTCTAATTGAATCCTCCTGTCCTCTTACTTGTGGTGCAGTGGGCTGTTCAAATGAAATCTAAGTAGTTATTCTTAAAAGGCCCTTTAATATCTGTGCGTCTTGCTGCAATTTATAGTTTAGTACTCTAATGATACAATAAAAAAAAAAGGTAATTCAAAACTCTGATGCTACAGATGGCCTCAGACTGTGAACAATGCTAGTCCAAGTATATTACGAGTTTCTTGACATGCTGAAAATGTATTTGAATTTTAAGTACTGCTTGTAACAGCTGAAAATGCTTGCATTCAGTTTTATGAAAAAATGTTGGAAAGCTTCATTAAGACTTGTAAACCTTCTCTTGAATAACTAGTGAAGTTTGTAATCCAGTGTGAGTCATATAGAACAACAGCATTTGAAGTTTGCTACCTCATGAATCTTTGTGAGACCTCATGATACAAGCTGTCAGCCTTGCCAGGTGAGCAAGATTATTGTGGGATAACCAGTTAACCTGTGTCAGCTGCTTCACCTGAATTGTCTCAGTTTTCTTAGTATGTGGCTTTGTCTGGGTAAATGCAGAGATCCATACCTACCTCTGGTTTTTACTGAGTGTCAGGTTGCCTGGAATCAGCTTGCATTCATCTCAGATGTAACAGAGTACCCCTACATAGCAGACACGTGAAAACTTGCTGTGTGATACCCTCTGCATGTATCCATGTCTCAGAAAGCAAGTGAGCAACCCTGATGCTAGGTTTGGACTTCAAGATTCTGAGTAAAATAAAATACTGTTTGGTTTGGTTTTTTTAATTCATCTTTTCCAATGTGAAAAGTTAGACTTTTATATATGAAAGATACAGAAACTTAAGCTATAGCAACCTGAAAATAAAATAATGAAAAAACCTCTGTTCAGGTGTGCTTTGTGCGTTAGGGAAGTATTCATATTTGGCTGTGCAGCTACACTGGTTCTCCTGCATAATCAATTCCTGACTTGCATAAGGATATCTGTTAATATCAAAATGGACCCTAATAATCTCTTCAGAGGACAGCTGAAAACACGCTGTCAGAAGCAATTGAGCATTTCTAAAACTTCTCCCCGGTGTTGTAAGTCTTAGCCTCTTAAAATTACCAAGATGTGTTTGTCCACTGTAGAGCAGGCCAAGTGACTGCAGACCCCTGGCAGAGCAAGTTAACGCCCTGCTGCGTGTGTCTGAGAGCTCAACACACCCACAGCTGCAAAGCTTTTGTAACAGAACAGACCTTTTCAGTTGGAAGGTACCTACAAGGATCACCTAGTCCAACTGCCTGGCCGCTTCAGGGCGGACCAGGTTAAAGCATGTTGTGAAAGGTATTGTCCCAATGCCTCTTAAACACTGAAAGGTTTGGGGCATTGACCACCTCTCTAGGAAGCCTGTTCCAGTGTTTGACCTCCCTCTCAGTAAAGAAACGCTTCCTTATGTCCAGTCTAAATCTCCTATGGTGCAGCTTTAAACTTTTCCCATGTGTCCTATCAATGGAAACCAGGGAAAAGAGCTCAACACCTTCCAGTCCACCTCTCCCTCATAGGAAGCTGTAGCCCCTCAGCCACCTCTTCTCCAAACTAGATGTCCAAAATCCTTTGCTGCTCCTCACAGAACATTGCTTCCAGCCCTTTCACCAGCTTTCTTGCCTTCCTCTGGACACATTCAAGGACCATCACATCCTTCTTAAATTGTGGGTCCAGAACTGCACACACTTACATAGACAACAGCATATCCCTAACACTTGTATGGGATTTTTGGAGTGAGATTGTCACAGAATTAAAGAATTTTCCTACTACAGTCCTAAGACAACGTAAGAGAACAAATCTTTTTGACTTCTCTAGATAAAAAGAAAAGTTGGCAATGAGGTATACTAAACAATAAGGGGGAGGAGAAGCAAACTGCTGTCCATCTTAGCAGCAATCAGGTATTCAGTGTCTCAGACAAATGCCTGAACTTTGTGGTTTTGAGGATGGAACTAAAAGGTAAAATACACAGCCCCCTCATTGCAGTTCTGGAGGTAGAACTGGGAACGAGTGGTGTAAGTGGCAAGTCTGTGGAATCTCTTGAGTTGTATAATACTGCCTGTCCCTGAAATCTCCATAGGGAGATCTCCACCGTGGTTGTTTCTATGATTAGGTAGTTCTTGCCTGATGAAGAAGATTGTATATAAAATCCAACTGAAATAAGTTGCTTTCTTTCCATTTCTGTAGGTCATCCACAGTGTCTACTTAAATTCTAATGCTTCTACATGATGCTCCTCTGAGGGGAGTTTGTGCCAGCTCGTGTCTATTGTACATATTTTGTAAGGGTGTGTGTTGGAATATACAGTTGTGTCACAGAGAAGACAGAATGATTTTAGGCATTGTTTAAATGAGTTTGTGTATGACAAGTACAAAATGCAAGGTTTTAGCCAAATGTTTACTCTTACCTTGTTTTCTGTCCAGTTAGTCTTTGGGATGGCCAAGAAAAAAAAGGAATTGCAGGTTAAAGACCTGTAGAGTTTGATTGTGCTGAAGGATTGATCAAGGAGGTGTCAGAGGTGTGAAGATGCTTGATGTCAGGATTGTGAGGCTGAGATAGAAAACCTAGAGACATGAAGAAAGAGGGTACGGTTAGATGAAGAGCAACTGAAAGAGGGAATGCTTTATTCCTCCTGCTCCACTCTGTTTATGGAGAACTGTAATTGGGAGGTAAACAGTGATAAGGGTTAAGAATGTTGCTTTTAAGTCTAGTATTCTTTAATTGTTGCCTTTTTCTTTCCGCAGTGTTTCCACTGCTTGCATGACTTTTTGGAAAAAAAAAGAAAAACGTAGCTAGGCAAAGTGCTAGATCTTTTGTCTTTATGTATTTCCTAGGGCTGTGAGTCTTGACCTTCCTTTCACCCAGTTTTCAATTCTGATTTTATATTCTAAAGAAATTCTGGAGAACTAGTTAAAAAGCTTTTTATGAACAAAAACATTGCCATTAAACTGCTTTTTTCTTCAAAAAAGAATAAAGAAACGCCTATGTCCCATATCTCAAAAGCAGCATGTCCAATTAACCTCAAACTTCCTAAAAATATTCTCCTTTGTCTTGAAACCAAACATGAAACATCCTCCTGTTCCCCACCCTACCTCTTACAGAAAGAGTAAAAGGGGTCAAAACTGGTCTTATACTAGAAAGCCTCTAGCAGCCTTAACTGGGCAATCAAGACTATCTGCATAATAAAGCTGCCTAATACATACTTTATTCAGTATAATATCTGTTAGCCTATAAATAGAAGAGCACTATGAATATGATGCTTGGGAATATTGTTTGCCACTTGTAATTGTTAAATGCTTTTTTTGGGGTTACTCCAAGCAGTTGTTCTTTTGACTTGAAGATAAAACAATTCTGGCAGAGCACTAAAGGAGTTTCATGCGTTCCCTCATTAAGAATAGTGCTAATGGCACGCAGGACATTTCCCCAAAGGACACTTGCATGAGCTCAAACACTGAGTATAGCACTAATTGAACAACAACAAAAACTGATGACTGTTTTCTACACGTTTCTTAACAGTACAGATTGTCCCAGGGGATGATTAAACAAGCAAACAAAGAGATACTGAAATAATGAAGTCTTTTTTTAATGCAGAGCTCTTCATTTGTTATGTTAGAATGTTCGGCTTTGTTGATATTTTTAAAGCTTTACTATTTGTGATATAGAATTCCTGCTCCTTTTCCCCAATTTGCAGTGTATACCTTATATATCCTGTGAGGAAATGTGTACTGTTTCTTTAAAATTGTTGTGAGACCCTGTGCAACAAAAGGACTGAAAAAGATTGCCTGAATTTATGAAGGGGAGTAAGAAATTTTTCAGGATTTTGTATTTGTATATATGTGTGTTTGCATATTTATATATATACACATATATAACTCTCAAATACAAAGGAAAATTTC